TGTCTATTAAACAGTGAGCAGCCTGAGGCTGCTCACTGTAAAAAAAACCAAAAAACTATTGCCCCCCCCGTCCACACTCCTGAGCGGCGGGTGGAGCCCTAAAGTAAAATAATGGGGGGGACACCTATTGTCCTCCCCCTGGCCCCCACCCCTGAGCGGTGGGTGGGGCCCTAAATTAGAGTAAGGGGGGACCTAATGTCCCCCCCCTGGCCCCCTCTCCTGAGCGGTGGATGGGGGCCCTAAAGTAAAATGATGGGGAGGGGGACCTATTGTCCTTCCTCCTGGCCCCCACTCCTGAGCGGTGGGTGGGGGCCCTAAATACTAATAAGGGGGGACCTAATGTTCTCCCCCCTGGCCCCCACCCCTGAGCAGTGGGTGGGGCCCTAAATACTAATAAGGGGGGGTTAATGTCCTCCCCCTTGGTGGATTGAAAGTTTTTGGGGCTGAAAAAAGAAGATTTTAGAAGAAAGAAAACATCAAATGGTAAGTTTTTTTTTTTTACAGGTACTTAGTTAATGGTCCCCCCCTCATTATTTTTAGGGTGAGGGGGGTAGGTAGGGGTTAGGGGTGTGGGGACCCCTAGTCACCTGGGGGAGGGGGGGTTAATTTTTTATTTAGGGCCCCCACCCGCCGCTCAGGGTTGGGGGCCAGGGGGGAGGACATTAGGTCCCCCCCTTATTAGTATTTAGGGCCCCCACCCACCTCTCAGGGGTGGGGGCAAGGGGGGAGGACATTGGCCACCCCCTTATTCTAATTTAGGGCCCCCACCCACCATTCAGGTGTGGGGTAAGGACATTAGGTCCCCCCCTTATTAGTATTTAGAGCCCCCACCCACCGCTCAGGGGTGGGGGCCAGGAGGGAGGACAATAGGTGTCCCCCCATCATTTTACTTTAGGGCCCCCAACCGCCGGTCAGGGGTGGGGGCCGGGGGGGAGGACATTAGGTTCCCCCCTTATTAGTATTTAGGGCCCCCACCCACCGCTCGGGGTGGGGGCCCGGGGGAGGACATTAGGTCCCCCCCTTATTAGTATTTAGGGCCCCCACCCACCGCTCGGGAGTGGGGGGTGGGGGCCGGGGGGAGGACAATAGGTCCCCCCATCATTTTACTTTAGGGCCCCCACCCGCCGCTCAGGGGTGGGGCCCGGGGCGAAGACATTAGGTCCCCCCTTATTCTAATTTAGGGCCCCCACCCACCGCTCAGGGGTGGGGGCCTGAGGGGGGAGGACATTAGGTCCCCCCCTTATTAGTATTTAGAGCCCTCACCCACCGCTCAGGGGTGGGAGGACAATAGGTTCCCCCCCATCATTTTACTTTAGGGCCCCCACCTGCTGCTCAGGGGTGGAGGCCGGGGGGGGAGGACAATAGGTCCTCCCCCATTATTTTTTTCTTTAGGGCCCCCACCCGCCGCTCAGAAGTGGGTGCTGGGGGGGCAATAGGTCTTTAGTTTAAATACCCCCACTCGCGCGTCGCGGGTTGGGGCTCGGGAGGAGGGACCTTTTATTTTTTTTACAGTGAGCAGCCACAGGCCCCTACTGGTGGTATAGCGAGTAGGGGCATAATTTACTAATACTAAGTAATCTTTACTTAGTATTAGTAAATTTGGCTGAAAGCCCAATTTAGGTCTTTCAACCTTTTGGTAAATAACTCCCTAATACCGTGGGAATTAGGGAGTTATCTACTAAGCGGCTGCAATGCCGAAGTTCCGAAATTCCGAAGTGTCGAATTGCCGAAGTTCCGAATTTCAGAATGCCGAACCGAACCGAAAATTTTCCCCATGCACATGCCTAATTTGTAGCAGATCCTTTAAGTCCTGCCAGTTGTGAATTGGGGCCTCCATGGATCCATGGATAATTTGTTGTTTCAGCACATTGCACAGATGCTTAATCGGATTGAGATCTAGGGAATTTAGAGGCCAAGACAAAACCTTGATCTCTTTGTCATGTTCCTCAAACCATTCCTGAACAGTTTTTGCAATGTGGCAGGGTGCATTGTCCTCATGAAAGAGGCAATCAGGGTACACAATTACCATGAAGTGGTGTACGTGGTCTCAGTGGCGGATCCAGAGACTGATCTCGGGAGGGGCACTTGTAGATTATTTAAAGAAATAATCCAGGCACAATAACCATTATAGCTCAGTGTAGTAGTTATGGTGCCAGTAGTGCCAGGATCCCATCCGAAAGTAAGTAGTCAAACTGTTTAAGAAGAGTTTGACAATATACCTTGGGTCTGCTGGGATATAGGGCATTGGAGCAGTGGTATGTGTTAAGGGTGAAGTGTGTGTGAAAGGTGCAATGTGTGCGTGCGTGAGTGCGGTAGTGTATGTCAGGTTTGCAGTGTGTGTGTTGGGGGCAGTGTATGTGTGAGAGAGCTGCAGTGTGTGTGTGAGCGGTGCAGTGTGTATGTGAGGGGGCAGTGTGTGTGAGAGTTGCAGTGTGTGTGTGTGAGGCTTGCAGTGTGTGTATGGCGGGCACTGTTTGTGTGCGTGGGGTAGTGTGTGTATGGGGGGCATTGTATGTGTGTGTAGGGCAGTGTGTGTATGGGGGGCACTGTATGTGTGTGTGGGGCAGTGTGTGTGGGGGGCACTGTATGTGTGTTTGGGACAGTGTGTGTATGGGGGCACTGTATGCGTGTGGGGGGCAGTGTGTGTATGGGGGGCACTGTATGCATGTGTGGGGCAGTGTTTGTTTTTGGGGGGCACTGTATGTGTGTGTGGGGGCATTGTATGTGTGTGTGGGGCAGTGTATGTATGGGGCAGCAGTGTGTGTGGGGCACTGTATGTGTCTCTGGGGGCAATGTGTATATGGGTGTGCAGTGCATGTTTGGGGGACAGTGTTTGTGGGGCAGTGTGTGTTTGTGGGGCAGTGTGTGTAATTTTTATTTAATAAAATAAATGTATGTATGTCCCCCCTCCCTTCTTACCTTTACTGGGAGAAGAGGGGAACCTTTCTGGATCCGTGGTGGTCCGGTGGGAAATCCCTGGTGGTCCCGTAGCCCGTAGCTCTAGGGCTAGAGTTAACTCTTGCGAGATTTGGAGTGTTCCATGGTAACCATGGTAACACTCCGTGCTCGCGAGTGTAGGACCCGGAGGAGCTGCAGGCTGGGCTCCCGGGTCCTCTCTCCCTCCCTGTCGGCTGCCAGCACGGTGCCTGCGGACCAGGGAGGGAGAACTCTGATCTCTGATCTCCCTCCCCGGTCCGCAGGCACATTGCAGGGCTGGCACTTAGACAATGGCAGCCCTGCATTAGCTGGCAGGGGAGAATCTCGGGGGGGAGGGCAATTGCCCCGTTGCCCCCCCGGATCCACCACTGCGTGGTCAGGAACAATCTCCAGGTAGGTGGTACGTGTCAAATCAAAACATCTAGTTAAATGTCTGGACCCAAGGTGTCCCAGCAGAACATTGCTAAGAGCATAACACTGCCTCTGTCGGCCTGCCTTCTTCCCATAGTGCATCCTGCTGCCATCTCTTCCCCAGACAAAAGATGCATACACCTGGCCATCCACCTGATCTAAAAGAAAAGAGATGCTCTGACCCAGTAGTCTAGACATCAAAGTTTGGCACTTGTCAAAGTCACTCATATATTTTAGCTTTCCTACATTTCCTGCTTCCAACGAATCAAAATCAATAGCTGAGTGTTCACTTGCTGGATAATATATCCCACCCCTTGACAGGTGCCATTGTACAGCGCTACGGAATTTGATGGCGCTTTATAAATAATAAAATAATAATAGTAATAATGACATACTCAATGTTATTCAATTTACTTGTCAGTGGTTTTAATGTTGTGGCTGATCAGTGTATGATATCAGTGGACTGTGTGTATCATATTTAATTATATATGAGAGCATGGTAAATCATACATTTATACTTATTACGTTTGAATGTCTAATTTAGATCTATAATACTCTATAGTAATGTGATAATTGTAGTTGGCACCGATTGGTTGAAGTAAGAATAAAATGACAGATGAATTTACTTTTATTTACTTGATACTTAGAGCACTTCATATTCGTTTCTAGACACTGTACCTTAGTAACATCCCACAGGTTTGCGCAATTCTTCTGGAATACTTTAATCTGCTGAATCTTTCCTTTTTTTGGTTTTATGTTTTGGGGCTGATGTGTACTATAGTCAGTGCTGCCGCAAAAAAGTAGTGGGAGTTTGAGCGCAATTTTGTATATTTCAATATTTCGAAAAATGTATGGGTTGGATTGAATTATGTGTAATAAATGCATGATATATCTGAATTTCCAAAATGAAGTTGAGACAATCTTTGCGCAGGATAAGATAGTGCTGGGCTAGTTTGGTAATCATATCTTTACTGAAGTCACAAGAAAGGGAATAAATGCGGCAGATCACAAATAAAGGTGATTTTAGAAGCAATATAAAGTAACATGGTCACAACAGGATTCTTAGTGGGTGCTAGTATGGTTCGAATACATAGTCTTGCCTCCTGGTTATCGGATATCCAAAATCTGATTGAGAATTGTTGATTTTACCGGCAGCTCTGCACACTGCTCACGTCAGTGATTTGAAGTGACTAGACAACTGACAATAGTTAGAATTGCTGCAAATTCAGAGTGAATTTCAAATTAGCCAAACTGCAAAAATTCTGTAAGTCAGTTATGCTTCCAGTTCAGCTAGATTGGCCTTAAATTTGAAATTCACTTTGAATTAATTCTGAATTCCCCGCAATTGTCATTTAGTGAATAAACCCCGTGACTAGCAGAGTGGAAAAAACAACATTAGATTTAGCAAAATTAGGAATTCTTTTTTCAACTTTGCTGACTTTGGTCTAAATTTTGCATGTTGGTTCTCAAGTCATCAGAACACACTATTTAACAAAAAACAAATCATTTGTCTTCAAGCTCAAGAACAGCTGTGCTTGTTTAATGAAATTCATTCTTATTGTTTCCCCCAAACACACAGACTTTATTTATTCTAAATTGTTTAAAATATTAAGAATCAAAGATTTTGCATATACTTATATATATATATATGTATATTTATTATGCTACAAAAATGACAATCTTAGCAATATAACTTAACACTGTTTGCAAATATAGTCTATGAGTTTGCATGTGCTCTGTACGGTTTGAGCAGAAAAGAAAAACTACAAACGTTTTTTAGCTCCATTTGTTTTTCTGCCTTTTATTTTAAAACCATTCTGTTGCTATTGTAAAAGGGTTTTATTCTTTTTTATTTTTTACGTGCGTACAAACAAATCAGAAAATGCACACAAGGTAAAGTACAGCAAAATTGTCATCTCATCTTCTGACTAAATGTGTTGCAGTTATATCGAGATAAATCAATGCTAATTTGAAACAATCCCCAAAAAATAAACAATGTTAATGTGTTGCTTTCCTGTTTACTTTTGTTTAAATCAGTCACCATCCTATTGATGCTATAGTTTGGGAGGTAGCCATTCTGCTTCACATATTACTATGAATACCATTAATGACAGAGAGGCAAACAATACATTATGCTTGGCCAAAACAAGATTTAAATCCCCTGTCTCTTCCTAGGGTCATTGTAACTGAGGTCATATAACCATTCAAAGGGACACTCCACTGCCAAAATACAAAGAAAATCACTGTTTAGTAGATATACCCATAACGAAAACATGCATGCATTTGATTATGCATTTGACCACTGGGGCATAACAAAAACAGCTTGCAAATGTTGAAGTTCTCTTGTCTGTAGCCTTAGCAAGCCCTCCCCTTGTAACCCCGCACAGACTTTCTGTGGCTGTCCAATCACAGACTTCCCAATGCAGCTCAATGAGAAGTCTTTGCAAGGACAGGTGCTCTGGGCAGTTGCTGCCTTTTGAGTTTAGCTCCACTGAGCTAAACAAACCAGGAAGTAACAACCTGTTGTCTGATTGACAGCCATGGGTGTAATTCATTTTTAAAAATGCCAATTTCCAATGTAAAATGAAAACAGAGGACACACTCTTCACACATCCAGCATTATAGCAAGCTAAACTGCTTTATGGATCCAGAGTGTCTCTTTAAGTTTCATTCTAATCTAGGACCCAGATATTAAATAAAGCAACCCTAAAATGTATAAAGGTTGCCGATTCTCCTCTGTATTTTAAAACACCAATTTATTTTAAAATGCAATTTTTCTGCTCTCTACAGTGATACCCTACAATCTCACACAATCTTTTACTTATAGCACTCTGGAAATTAAAGCTTATTTACTTTAGACCTTGGAAATCAGACGATTCTCTGTTCACTTAACTGTGTCAAAGCAGTGACAATGATGAAACAAGCACAGGAGAAATGCACATACATACAATAGGAAAGGCTTCAGTTTGTTAACATGCATTATACAGAGTGATTTCACATTACCCATATTTTTAAAAAATGGCTCTAGTCCTTGCATACATTACAACTTTTAGAAATTTGCAATCTTGCATCCTGCTTCTTTTTGTTCTTTTTTTTTGTACTTTTATTATTTTTTTGACAAATTAACAGATTATTAATCCAAAAACCTTTTGGATATTTGTTTCAGAACAAAGCTTATATAAAATCTGGTGGCAATGAATACATTTACTGTATAAAACCCAAAACAAAAGAAGTCATGCCAGATTTATGAACAGAATCTGAGGTAAGCAACCCTCATCATAGTTATTAATGATGAACTATAATTTATATGGGCATTCACCAGTCACGTGCCAAGTATCATAAAAATTCTAGCTCATATACATTTTAAGAGATATAGGTTTCTTCCCACTGTCCTATAGGGACTGTAATTTGGATTACATGTGCAATATCACAAATGTGCAGATCGTTACATAGACGATATAACGTGGTGAACCTTACATTAAAGTAAACATTTACAACAGTAATGTCATGTCTTCAGGCCCTGCACTTTTTGTCTCTCCCTGTTTGCATACAAATAAACCTTTCAAAACATACTACAACAATAATTGCGCTTAGCGTGTGATTGTCTTGTGCAAAAATAGACACTTAAAATAGCCTTGAAGCAGATAATATTGTGCAATATACAAGAACATCCTACAAACTGTCTCTAGCTTTTAGCTATAGTTTATAGTTAGAAGAACTTACAATGCATGTGGATATTGTAATCATTCGAAAACCAGGATTTTACAAAGGATAAACCTTAAATAGTATAGAATCCAGATTATCATTTTATTATCAGTTTATTTTTTCGCCACTGTCTTGTGGTTGTAATATGGATACGAAGCAATGTCTATAAGACACAATAGTGGTGATGCCATCTGGCCAAGAAACCGTTAGTGAGCATGATAATCATCAATATATCTTACGAGACAGTCAATAACTTTGGTGCATTGAAAGTTCTTCCATCGACAAACTTCACAAAACTACTTGATACTATGCACACACGCAATATAAACATCCGTTTGAAATTGTTGACAATTTAACATGGTTTTAAAAACGCTTAGGCCAAACCTTTTTTTTTTCAATCTCCTTTTAATGTTTTATACTTTGTGCAGCAAATTTCTACAATGAAAAAATATTTTGTGCTAATTTTGGGATATTTTGCTGAAAATAAATACCTCTTTTTATTATATAATAAAATCTTTCTTTACAAAAATTATGCATATAGGGAATATTCTCTCTCTCTCTCTCTCTATCAAATAAAACTAAATACTAGCTTTGTATCTCCCAAACCACAGGGTGGGAGATATTGTACATATTCTTTTATTTCTAATTCACAATTCTTGTGGTGTTCAAAACCGTAATTTATAAAATAACATTTTACTTGAGTTTAGAGTGTAGCGTTTTATGACCCCACTGAATTAAATAATAAAAAAGTAGCTCTTCAACATAAATGGGAGTCTATAGTATTTATTTAAAGGCTATTATATTTAAAGGATTTTCCCAAATAATTTTGGTAACTACAATTACACCCCATTTTATGGGAAGCTATCGCATACCACCAAGCTATATAAAACCAAAGATGGGTCATTTAAGTATCCCTAACACTTCGTCCATTGATAACGGAACTGGTAATCTGTAACAGATAAGGTGCTAGATATTTGTTATCCATGATAGAACTGGTATACACATTTCTATTTGTATGATGTGATAGTATTAAAAAAAGAAATAAAAAAAAATGAAAGAAATGCGTGATACATAGCACCTTGCACGTAGAAGAAGTAAGGTTTACATCATTGCGTAAGGTGCATCCAAAGGTGATCTATATCTCTACAGTTATCAGATAGAATCTATAACAAAGCGAGATTTTCAATGGATGGGTTCTGAATCTGTTTTTACAAATCTGCAAAAAACTACAATGGTTTTACAAAACTGTAACAAGTGAAATGCAACATTTTCATTTTAATATGAAGACTAGGATTCAGCTGGAGCTGTACACAAGGAATGGGAAGTACATTTCTTTAGTTAAAACTTTCTTATAGTTATCTAATACTTTTTTAAACTTTATAATATTTGAATTCATTCTTGAAAAAGGTTTAGCCTTTACAAAAGTGACCATTTTGAATTTGTGATACATGCAGGAGGTCAGTTATATACATACATACTCAACATTACATAATATAAAGAGTAACAACACTAAGATTTAACTTGCGTTTATAAGTGATAACTGGGAGGGGTGTTCTGATGAGCTGATTTTCCCTCTCAATTTTATTGTTGCATACGATACTTTAGAAAAATAAACCCTTTCTTTTGCGAGATATGGTAACATAACAGTGTGCAATGAAATGCATTTCTTGCGGAACACTGATTTAGTAAAATAACTCCTGAAGTTTGCATGATCTTATAGACAGAACTTTCGTATGGATTTGGGAAAGCTGCTAAAAAAACACAGAGATCTAAACATTAAATTCAATCTTAAAGTCACAACTTGAAGTATAGGATAGTCTAATAATGCTAAATACCCTGTGTCCTCACTTCCAAAAGAAGCATAGCAAATACAAAAAAATTACAAAGCAGTAACTTGAAAGAAGCCCATTGAGTGTTCTTTAATCTGCTCCTCCTACTATGTCAGTCAGATTTCACACTGATCTGCTGGGTATTTTTCATTATGCCTGTCCCTTTGTATCATTGTGGATTTTATATATATATTTACACACACACACACACACACCCACACACACACACACACACACATTTTAATATATACATGCAGAATTCTAATATCAAATTATTATTACTTTATTAACAAATATGAATTCATGTGATTAATGTTAGAGAAAGGGGCTGTTGTATATGGTTAGGAGTGTATGGTTTGTAGTAGTTTTGCTTATTTTAATACCTGAATTATGTTCCTGCTATTTTGCATTTGGTTTGCAGTTTAAGGCAATCACATCTTAAAAAAAAAAAAAAAAGTAAATATAAAAAAGGCATATATGATCTCAACTGAAGATCTAAACTCCACAGTGGCCAACAGTGATTAAAAGAGTACTTAAGACTCACATTGCCCATAAGTCTTAATTGGCAAAAAAAAAAAACATGGATGAGCAAAGTCCTGCTCACTTGACTACTCAACCTTTCTAAGAAATCGATGTGGCTAAGAACTTGAAGTTTGGGTTTCTAGCTTACTTGTAACAATAAAGTAGCACAGTTATCCACAACGGTATACACATAAATTAAAACTGTGTACCTTTTGCTGATCATTTCAACAATTCCATACAACTCTTTATTTTTAATAAAAACTAAAGACTCTAACTGCTCTTCATTACGCACACTGGGCACACCACATCGTAAGAGAATTCTAAGAATATTTTTTTGCACATTGGAAAGTGGAGAGTTATCAGATTCTCAGATTCTGATAGGTTGCTGACAGTACAAACTCTCTGCAGCCTTGTTTTTATATGTAATGCTCACTAACAGTTTGAAACATTTGATGCAATTCCATGATGGACCACCACATTGACAAAAATGCCTGATGTTGAAATAGTAATTTTAGTTCCTATTTAGTTTTCATATACGACATAGCACTGACATAAAGAAGAGCTATTGATATCACCAAGATTTGGTTAACTTTTTTACCAATTCTCAAAGGCAACGTTGCAAACTTTCTAAGTGCCAGAATGCTGACACTAACACTGTGAGCCAAAGATATGTCTCGAATGACCTTAGAAGGAACTCAACTATACATTGAATTTTGGGAGGAGGTGAGAATGCTGCCTCTTTCCTACAAGTTCAACCAATCACAGCATCATTTAAAGGGTTACTCCAAATGCCATTACCACTTCAGTGATATGAGTCAGCTCGGAACTAATGTTCCGGGGTTGGCAAACATATCAAATCTGTGCAAAATTGGCATCTGATGAAAGCCACCTGTGTCCTCCCATCATTCAGCATTCCCTGACTCCCCCAACAATGAAGATCAAGGTGAGGGGAGAATTTGGCCTCCTCTGGAAAAAGGTAAGTTTAAGCTTTTTTCTTTTTTGGCATTTGGGGGTGATGGACCACAACAAAAAGTTTTTTCAACCAAAACCAGGTTTTTTTTTTGGTTAGGGAGCCCTTAAAGGGTTTGCTACTACCTTTAAAATCAACACAGCTGGTGGTGGCTTGTTCGGCCAAATTGGCCACAAGCTAAAATGGGTTTATATCTTAGACATTAATTCTCAGACTCGCCTAACTCTTGGTAATGCATTCCATAGTCATTTTATTCTCTGTAAACTAAACACATTCCCTTGGGAGAATATATCTTTGTTCCTAGTGACAGACACACTTATAAAAAATATATATTTGTATGTTTTTCATCTACAGTATACCTAATGGAGCACTTATATAAAACTAAGTGTTTTTCTTCATTTTTATAGAGATACATTTATTTTTAGTCAAGTCAGGGTTATACCCTTTGTTTGAAGGGTTCCTAAAGGAACTCAATTTCCTACCTCCCTAAAAGGTGGTTGGTTATTTAATATCACCTATATATAAAATGTAAAAAACTGTGAAATAAACTTCAGTCATCATAGCAAAGCAAAATACCGTAAATATTTATTTATTCCACAATGCATTTACTCTAAGGTTCTAAAAGTATTAACTGAGAATCACTACTCTCCCAGTTCAATAACTGTTTTTGGTTAGACAGAAAGAGGCACGTGAGTCTCGGGACTGCTAACATGCAAGAAAACACTAATTCTCCAAATAGATTCGGCTAGCCATAAATGTAAGGAATTGCTATGACAGAAATATTCACAGAGAATGTGTGCTTTGTTACTTGTTACTTTAATAAATTTCATGTGTAACTTTGTTTTCTAGTAGCATTTATTCAATATGTCTTTTCTATAAATATATATAATATGGATAGATATAAATATATGTGTATACTCTCTTATTTCACTTTACACATCACCTGCATGTAACTATTTATGTGTACAAATATATATCTATGTGTACGGTCCATCTTTCGGTCCAGCAAGAAACATAGCATGTCCTCCCAAAAGATAATGTAAAGTTAAATTATAGACATTTCCTTCATGTTCCTTCTGTCTGTCAGTTTTAACATGACTGTCTGTATTCATTGTTTTAAACGCTATTCAAACAATGTTTATCCCCAAGACAGAAAACCTGTATTACAAGACTCAAGAATAAGTGATTTGGGTTGCCTAATATGTAACAACTGTCTGTCTATTTGTTCAGCCTTGGGATGAAGCTTTGATTTGAAGCCAACATTCAATTATTTGCACCAATATAGTTGATTTAATTGCATTGAAATTCAATGCCTCAGATTTCATAGAGTTTTCTACAACTGCAAGTATATTCCCTGTAAACATTTTCCTGATTGTCTATAATTTGACTCTTGCTAAGGATAAATACATTCTTCTTTCAATGTTTGTTCACTGTAAGGGATGAATGCTGATTACTCGTTAAAGGACAAACTGCTTAAAAAGATTTATATTACTTAAAGGGAAACTGTCATCAAATATTCACTTCTTATTTTTAAGAGTTTATTTCATTTAATGAAACTTAATGATTTTTTTTCCTTCAAAATAATGTATATTCATGTGTTTTGTTTGGAGGAAGGTTTACTACAGCCACTAGAGGTATTTAAACCCTGCAATAAAAATATTGGCGTTCTGTAAGGTAAAACAAGAGGGACTTTGCACCAAGACAACTTTAAGATGACGTGATCTAGGTCCCTATAAAATTGAGTGTACAGGGAAAGTGTAGTCTCACGGTTTGAGAACCAATGATATACCTCAGTTGTAGATCACTTCATAACAATCACTATTTGTTAATATTGTGAATGAAATATTTAATATTAAGTATTTGCCTGTTTGGCAGCTAAATTGATGGCACCACAGCAGATCATTGTTCATCTACAAGAAACTACAACATACATTTTGGCAAACTACTCCTAAATGAAAGGGTGCATTCCCAGAGCACTTCAGCTTGACTTCGCATTCAACCAACGTGAGGCCCTCAACCAGTTCAGGACCTGACAAATATCTCAGAGCTTCCTCATTATGGATTCAACTGACTTCCTTATTCATGAGCTCAACTTGTAGACATGTTGTTATATCTATAGAGAATGTTTGTTTTTGTATAATAATGAAAAAAATAAACAAAACAAATTTTAATAAAGTTAAAGAAATTCAAGTTGCTGTTGTTTTTAAAGGTTGCCATTTTGTTACAATGGCCCTCTCATCAATGGTCTGGAAATTATACTAGCACATTTCTAGCGAATATGCTTAAAGACCAGCTGCTCTCTGTCTTATTTTTTGTCAAGAACCTCAATTATCTAAATGGCAACCACTTGTTCAATTGGAAAATTAGCTCAGTGACACTCTTCAAATGTAATATGGTTAACATTAAAATAAATATGGCAAAATGCCTTTATTAGATGCTTTCTTGTATGATTTGGGTCTGTACTACGTAGAAAAGTTGTAATGGTAATAAAATATACTGTGGACAGTTATCTGGGTTCCAATGAATGGTATGTAACAGTTTATCACTCAAGGATGTATTTTCTAAAAAAAATAAAATAGAAAATCTCCTTGTAAAATCTGGATGGGAGTAGAAGAGTTGTAGAAAATTTCTATCACAACTGAGTTGAAAATATTTTATTTTGCTATTTTGGTTTAGATTATGCAGGTTTGTTTATTGAATAGGCTGATGGTTTAATATAAGTTTACTGTTTAGTGAACAGACTCAGAGGTACTGATCTGCAGTCATGGACATGAGTCCATATGGCTGATACCTTAGCTCATATTTTATATGTAATATAAATTAATAAGAAGTAGATGGCAGTTGTGAAGTGACGTGAACAAAAGTACGTAAACAGTGATGAAATGATTAAGTGCTTTTCTGCCTCTACAAAATCCCTTCAACAGAATAAACTTTAAAGGGACACTATAGTCACCACTGCAACTACATGTATTCCTGACCCTATAGTGTTAACACCACCATCTAGCCCCCCTGGGCCCCTCATGCCTCCATAAATATAGTAAAACTCTTACTGTATTCAAGCCAGAAGCTGTAACTCTGCATGCTGTTTGCCTAAAAAACAAACAAACAGTTTGCTGACATCATTAGAAGTGGTGGCCTGATCCAATCACAGTGCTTCCCCATAGGAATGGCTGAGACTAACAAAGAGGCAGATTAGGGGCAGAGCCAGCATGATTCAAACACAGCCCTGTCCAATCAGCATCTCCTCATAGAGATGAATTGAATCAATGCATCTCTATGAGGAAAGTTCAGTGTCTGCATGCAGAGGGAGAAGACACAATGCTGCCCTGTGCTCTGCTGACAGCAGATCTGAGTGGATTGAGGAGTTTTATGCCTCAATCAACTTGAAAGTCCCTCTGGGTGACTGCAACTGGAGGTGTTCCTAGCTTTCAATACAAACACTGTATTTTCTCAGAAAATACAGTGTTTACATGAGAAAGGCTGCAGGGAGCTATAGTTCTCACCTAAACAACCTCATTAAGCTGAAGTTGTTCAGGTGACAATAGTGTCCCTTTAATATATCAGGCCAATTGAATTTTGTTGAATTGAAAAAAGACAAAAAAAGACACAACTTTAGAAATTTTGAAACAAATTACTTTGTTTTTAGATTGGTTATTTTGGATTCGCTTCTGCATTTTGGTTATTAACTATTTTTTCATAAAACTCGTAAAGATTAAATGAGGTTAAATCAATTTTGTTTAGTTTAATTTAATTTGGACTAATACTTTGTAGAACATTTTAGGTTTGTTTTATTTATTTAGGTATTTATTTGGTAATCAGATTTCTAGTAGTGAAAATAGACGTTAAACTTTTTGGAACTTTGGCAGGGAAAAACTATTGTTTTTTACGAACCTAAAGAGTTTGACAAGGAAGTTCACAGCATTTAAGTGCCATTCTTAGGATTTCACTACGTTTCATTCAATACAAAGGCAACTTGTCAACTAACCTTTGCCTTTTATTCAGCTGGCATGAAAAAGACACTGTTAACGTTAAAAAATATATAATTATATGTATATTAATGTTTTTCTCTTTAAACGAGTCCATACCTGCAAACAATTGCAGCAGTCATGTACAATTAAAATTATTTATATAGTGCCAGTGATGTAAAAAATATAGTATATATATATATATATATCTTTAAAACAGCATTGGCTATTTACTTATTTACTTGCTATTTACTGGATTTTGTAATGAGAAACATTTTATGTCTTAATACAGTGAGCTTTACTTTGTCTTTGTTTAAAAGAAAGAAATATTGACTTTAAGCAACTTTGTATAATATCGATAGTTTTAGAGTATTAAAATGACGTAACTGAAAAATGATATCACGAAACAACAACCGTATGCATATTACGGTTTCTATCTCCTATTTGGATACATTTGTTTTTATTTTTATGATTGTTTTTCTTACTTTTTATGATTTTCTTTTTAATGGATTTCTCATTTACTCTTTTTTTCCATCTGACTTTAAAATCATGCAAGTAAAAATTAGATTGTATTTCAATCAGCAATCTATTGTAGAGATCAAGCAATGTTCCTAACAAAAAACCCTGTAAATTGGTCAAACCAGCACCATAACAACGACAGCAATGCTATTGCTGCCAGTAGTTCCCTGGCACCATCCTACCGTAAGTAGTCAAACTATTATCAAATGTTCTGACACTTATTTGGGTCCCCTGGTTGCCAGCAATCCAGACCTTATTTCAGATATCACTGAATTGGAAGTCCTTAATTCCACAATTCTGCACTTTTGCAAGAATTTTGTTGGCTGCAAACCAGTTTTACACTTCTTTGTACTTGCATATTCTGTGATCGGAGTCTGATTTCTCTACTATAATCTAGAGCTGGATCTTATTTTATATTTTCATATAGCAGAGCTTTCCAATGGATGTAAAATATGAATTTGTCTACTTAAACATACAAAGTAATATCAAAGAAATGTTGGTAAAATATCATTGCTATCAGATAAGATTGAATGGATTTCCATAGTAGACTGAAAGAGTACAAAAAAAAACTAAATATAGCTATTTGTAAAGAATCCAAGAGTGAAGAAGCTAAAACTATGTATCTAGTATGTATATTGCTCTACAAATGTATAGCTGAATGTAATGGGAAAAAGGATAAAAAACTGTTCATGGTAGAATCCCTTGAACAAGCGTCTGTAATATTGGGTTATATATGTCCCTGATGGGCAGTCCTGAGGTCATAATTCTAACATTGAGAAGTCTTGACTTTCAGGATACCTGATTGGCTGGGAGAGGTAGATTTTGGCTATGATTGGTCAAGATCACTTTCAATTGAACTGATAATCAGATTGCCCAAACCACAATAGCTAAAAATGTCCTGCTGAGGATATAGTCTGCATATTATAAAACCACAGGGCCTACCCCAATCCTACTGCTGTCCGTCATATGTTATATATAGTCTTCGTGACCTAACTGGTTATAATGTCTGCTGACTTTAAAAAACAAATAAGCAGTTTAAGAAAACTAGGAAGCTACCAGAGATATTATATGGATATGAAAGAAGAAAAGCAGTTTGTCATATTGGCTGTGAGTTGCTGCTTCCCCGCTAGGCACTGTTAAGCATGTGAATGATGAAGGAGGTAGTAATATACTATATATGGCAATATCACACTTCAGGAGTTAAGATGCCATCAAATCACGGCTCTTAGGAGTACATTGATGTGATGTTACCAAATCTCGGAGTGCCACGTTGTCACAGTATGACTTGAAGCACATTACATTAAGACCTGTCATGATTCGTTCTACCCCAAAGAAGTAGAGGGATCATGATAAAGGTGAAACGAGAGAAAACGAGTATCCCAAGAGGTTTGCTTCCAAATACCTGAGAAGGGAATGTGCAGAATTAAGGAACTAGATCTGTAAATTCATCCTATTAACACAGACTAAATAACATGAGTTCACAACAGTTTCATACTTAACATCCAGACCTGTTTAGCTCATTTGATACAAAAAAAAAAAAGAAAAAAAAAAGGTGGGTATCAGAAAAGGAAAGCTAGCGTAAAAAAATACATTCTTTTCAGGATTATCATGGTCTTTTTTTTTTTTTTTATAGTATAAAGGTATTAATTATTTAGGATTTTACCAGACTAAAATTTCTTACTTAACAAACCAATGAAAAAAAAAACCAAACCATGCTACTAATTTATCCCAACTACAAGAGAACTTCTCATAGGAACCAAATGAGGGGGTTAAGAACTGACTTTAAAAAAAATAAATTAAAAAAATATCATCTAGTGATAAAACCAAATATCTGCCTTGTTCTTCGAGAAAACCGTGTATTTGTGGTAATAAACTATTACTGCCGCTCACTGCACGAGTGATTGATCATCGTTGGAGATGGTCGAGAGGGGTTTTAACCGCAGGCACAATATTTCAGAATACCTTTTCTGTGTAGGATCCGTAGTGCTGGTGAATGCAAGTTATTATACATTTTTTTTTTGTTATTTTTTTTCTTTCTTTCTTTCTTTTTTTTTTTTCAAAAAACCACTTTAGAACTGGAAGGACCGCCAAACGCACAGTTGTGAAATGTATTGACAGCCACTTCAGCACGAAAGGGGTTATACTTCCATGGATAAACTTCACATCAAAAGGACAGAATAACAAAAAAAACACGATAGTCACGAGTACCCGCATCAGAGGAACATTTTTATCCATGTCTTTTTAGAACGGACGAGAACAAAAGAAAAAGTGACGGAGGCAATGGAATGGAAGGGGAGATCCCACTAATGACAAGAATCCAGAAGCACAGTCTGTTCTAATCCTCAAACACTTCCAAGAACAGTGGGGGAAACAGTTCAGTGGGGCACTCCACCTTCATGTGCAGGAACCGGCTGGCATGGCAGGCCCCAATCATGCGGAGGTCGGTGACTTTCATCAGCAGTTTTGGCCAAAAGTGTGCAACGTTGTGTTTCCTATAATTAATGTAGTGTTCGAAAGCCAAGAGGAAACCTTCCTGGCACTTTTCTATTCTCTCCACACTGGAAAGACCAGGGCGATCTACATGGGAGAGAAAGAAGAAAAATGTCATATGTAAGCAAAAAAAGCATAAACCATTGCTTGCAAAAGCTAGGAAAATGACAAAATGAACTGGCATTTTTATAATCGCAATTAACTACAACACATTAAATAGCATTACTTATTAAGCGCTAATCCTTAAATCTGGTTTTATGTGTTCTTTCCTCTGGAACTACAAAGATTAATTATTTAAAGTCTTTAGAGTTCTACCTAGTTATAAAACACTTATGTGAATTATTCTTATGACTAACAATTAAAAATATGATAATTGTGTAATTAATAGGCAAAAGCAAAATCTTACTCAAATTTCCGAGCACATTGATAAAGATTATGCAAAATAGTCAGTGGAAATGCAGCTAAAATATTCACAATTGTAATATTTCTGAAGTTGATAACCCAGTCTCCTTTACTTTTTAAATGAAATTTAAAGTGGCACTGTCATCCCCCTGAAAAATGTCTCATTTGTTGTCTCAGTATTTCTATTATGCCTAGATACTGGGCAAAGCTACCGCCGTCTAGAAGTGTCAATGTAGAGAACTGGCTTTATCTGAATGCTGTTATCATGCACTGAAGAGGACAAGATGGCAGCACCCACGCATGACAGGTTCAGGTAAGTAGAACTCATCTTTGCCTGCCCCATCAGCCACCAGACCCCCAGTGGCAATGTCACCACTATATTATATATATTTAGACGCATTAGATAATATATTAGATGTTGCACTAAACATATAAACACATTATTAACAATAATTTAAAAAAGAACATATTCATATCAGAAGTTCTAGCATTTGCTGCAAACCCTACTGGCAGCTTCTGCAGTGAGCTCTCTCCAAAACAGGACATGACACATACCATCATTATTCCAATTTCTTACACCTGACACTTCTAGACACTAGGCAGAGCTACCGCCATCTAGAAGTGTCAATCACTCTGTCATCACCAGTGATTGCTGTAGGGAATTGGCTTCATCTATGGAGGATCCATAAAGTGTTGTATTCATGAGCTAAAGAGGACAAGATGGCAGCACCCACGCGGGACAGGTTCAGGTAAGTAAAACTCATCTTTGCCTGCCCCCATCAGCCACCAGACCCCCAGCACCAATGTCACCGTCGGGGCTTTGTAAATTGTGCAAAGTCCCCAGATGATGACAGTGCTGCTTTAACAATAGTAAAAGAATCAGGAAGTGATACTAATCTGCTGAAAGGGACACTCTAAACCGGACCCAATATATGTAGACAACGCATTAGATAATATATTAGATGTTGCACTAAACATTTAAACACATTAATAACAATAATTTAAAAAATTTTTTTATTCATATCTGAAGTTCTAGCATTTGCTGCAAATCCTACTGGCAGCTTCTGCAGTGAGCTCTCTCCAAAATAGGACATGACACATCCAATCATTATTCTCACTTAATTCTTATAAGCACTTCTAAGTTTATTCTATAAGCAGGGCTTTCTGGGTTCAGGATTGTTTCTGGGAGTTGTAATTCATATGACAGCTTTCTTATATAGGAAAGAAACAACTGAACCAGAACTCCCAGAAAGAACCAGACATCTAGTAAACAAAGTAATGGCTGTGATATGCCCCAAAGCTCGATAAATACAAATCTTTGTGAACACAGAATCGTGTGCCAGAATTCTGTCTTGTATATCTGAGTTCACTTGTATCTTTTCTCTTGGCTATACACACATTACAAGAACAATGTTCAGTTCTGCTGTAGTTGACTGGAAAAGGCCGCAAACTACGTCACCATACCTGATGACATGAGCAGCACAGCCTGCAACAAGGCGACTTCGGTATCATCAAGATTGAACGAAGACAGAGATACACCCAAGTCAAAGATGGCATCTGAAACCACTCCAAGTCCTCCATTTTTCAGCTGCCCCCTTGTGACTGCCATCTCCCCGTTCAGTGTAAGAGTCTCACTTTCTGGGTCATACCGCACTGCTGCTCGTAGGGACATGATCTCCATGCAGCAACCTTTAAGCAGAATGATCTGGTCTTCACACGGAAGCTGAGAATAAAACACACACAAAGCATATGATCACTTCTGTAACTGGAAGGCACATTTGGCTCAGCCACATCACCACGTTCACTGAACTTGTTTTTCAGAACACAATTTACAAATGTTTCTGAAAGAAAGAAAATAAGGTTTATAAAACTCTATTTCTTCCCAAAGTAAGTTAAAGTTGCACCCGTCACAAAATGCACAGAATGATAAAGAGCCATTCTCTATGAAGCTCCTATATTTCGCAGAGAATCTTTCACATTTATTGACTTTAACCGTTATGCTGATGCAAATGTATGTGGAGCAACTAGAAACCACTGGGCCCCGATGCGAAAATAGCCCCGTGACCCCTCCATGTGTATCATTTCCTTTCTCCCAGTTCCTCCATGTGTCTCATCCACCCCCCAGCCCCTCCATGTGTCTCATCCACCCCCAGCCCCTCCATGTGTCTCATCCACCCCCTAGCCCCACCATGTGTCTCATCCACCCCCCAGCTCCTCTATGTGTCTCATCCACCCCCAGCCCTGCCATGTGTCTCATCTACCCCCCAGACCCTCTATGTGTCTCATCCACCCCCAAGCCCTGCCATGTGTCTCATCCACCCCCCAGCCCTGCCATATGTGTCATCCAACCCCAAGCCTCTCCATGTGTCTCATTCTCCCTCAGCCCCTCCATTTGTCTCATTCCAGCCTAGCCCCTCCACGTGTCTCATCCGCTCCCCAGCTCCTCCATGTGTCTCATCCACCCCCAGCCCGCCATGTGTCTCATTCTCCCCAGCCCCCCAAGTGTCTCATCCAACCCCAGCCCTCCATGTGTCTCATTCTCCCCAGCCCCTCCATGTGTCTCATCCACCCCAGCCCCACCATGTGTCTCATCCAGCCCCCCAGGCCCACCTCATGTGTCTCATCCACCCCCAGCCCGCCATGTGTCTCATTCTCCCCAGCCCCTCAAGTGTCTCATCCAACCCCAGCCCCTCCATGTGTCTCATTCTCCCCAGCCCCTCCATGTGTCTCTCATCCACCCCAGCCCCACCATGTGTCTCATCCAGCCCCCAGGCCCACCATGTGTCTCATCCACCCCCAGCCCCTCCATGTGTCTCATCCACCCCCAGCCCCTCCATGTGTCTCATTCCAGCTCAACCCCTCCATGTGTCTCATTCCAGCTCAACCCCTCCATGTGTCTCATTCCCCCCAGAACCTCCATGTGTCATTTCGCCCCAAACCCTCTCTTGTGTCTCATTTCCCCCCTAGTCTCTCCATGTGTCTCATTCCCCCCTAGCCTCTCCATGTGTCTCACTTCCCCCTAGCATCTTCATGTGTCTCATTCCCTCCCCCAGTTAGTCTATGTGTTTCACCTCCCCCCGAGCCCCTCTCTGTGTCCTATTCCCCCAGTCCCTGCATATCTTTTCTTCCCCAGGCCCTCCATGTGTCTCATTCCCCCCAGATCCTCCATGTGGCTCATTCCCTTCCCCATGTGTCTCATTCCCCTCCTCCCCCTCAGCCACATGTGTCTCATTCTTCCCCTTCAGCCTCTCCATGTGTTTCTCCCTCCTCCCCTCCTGTACCTGCTTACTGCAGTACCTGGTAAGCTCTCTCATTAAGCATTTCCTGTCAGACTGCAGTCCACTCTGCCTTGGAACATATAGCATTAGGAGGAGAGCAGCACAGTGCTCCCTTCCTGCAGGTCACCCAGCAAGTGTGGGCCCCTGAAGTTATGGGACCCGACCGAGGTAGGTACGCCACTGGCTACCTCCTATGTATCAATCCCTTCTATTGTACCAATTATCGCAATAAAGAAGAAAATTACCATTCGTGAAAAGTGCCTCACTTCTTTCACAAACTATATACATGGTATTAATTCTGATTATATAATGAAAAGCTACATAATGTAATTTGGCAATTTTGAGTCTGGGGTAATACCTGCTTGAACAGAAGCAGTAAATCAGCGTTATCATTGGGTCTTTCAATGCAGCAATATGCAGAGAACAGATTTGATTTCAATGTGTTGGGACTCAATCATGTAACATATTTATGCTCAAGCTCGGCAGCTTCACTTAATTTAATTGTAAGTGGCAGTCGTCATCCATATCTACATTGATGCAGTTATTCCCTGTATTCCTGAATTGCAAAAGCAGGATAATGATTTGTGCTAAAATATTTTATTTTTTTCCCTTTCTCTACAAATATGAACTTAGGTAACACAATTTGAAAAATAGAATGGAGCAAAGTAATTGCCATTGTTTTGTGAACATATGAGCTCCATAGTCTAGGTTAATTACCTGCTAGAGCCTGCACCAGATTCCTGTGTGGGATTAAAGTAAGATTTGATTGAAAGTGAAACCTTTTTTTCATGGAGGCTGTGTGAGCCATAGCCAAAGGAGGTGTGGCTAAGGATGCATAAACAGAAACAAAAGTGATTTAACTTCTAAATGGCAGAGAATTGTGCATTGGAAATGCAGGGACATGGTCTATGCAGAAACTACTTCATTAAGCTAAACTTTTGCTTTGCTTTGGTGCTTTGAGTAGCACTTTAATAAATCAGTATCTGTTTGCAATGTCACCGAAAATGTATTGTCTAACACAAATCAGTCACCACGACCCAGCAACAGTCCAGGTTTTGTCAGTATCTCCATTGGAATAAAAAAAGGGAAATACATGAATCCTAGATTGTTGGTGGGCCATGAGGACTGGTTTGGGAACCACTGGTTTAACAATATGCAAAATTTATTTAACCATATTTGTTTTCTGCAAAATATGCACAATGGTTTATTGTATTGACGGAGAATAAAAATCCCAAATATGAACATTTCCGAATAAAAGTCACTTTTGAAAAACATATAAAGTTGGTTAGTACAGGAGCACACTGACCAGAATTTACTTTAGAAAAACACTATCAAATACTTTGTGTAATAGTGTAATAGGAATTGAGTTAAAAGTAGAATTTTTCCAAGTTTTCATAAAAAAATTATTTTAGAGAAACACATGTTCAAGATTACCTGAGCATTTCTATCTAGTTCTCTCATTCTATTTTTATTATTTCTATTATTATTATTTCTATTATTATTATTTCTATTATTATTATTATTATTATTATTATTATTGCCATTTATATAGCGCCAACAGATTCCGTAGCGCTTTACAATATGTTGAGAGGGGGGATGTAACAATAAATAGGACAATTACAAGAAAACTTACAGGAACAATAGGTTGAAGAGGACCCTGCTCAAACAAGCTTACAGACTATAGGAGGTAGGGTATACAAACATTAGGACATGAAATATCAAGTAGGAGTGATGAGTCTGTTCATAAAGACTGAACATCTGAAGTTTGGATTCATATTTAATTGGTAGCTCCCTCCCATTAGCTTGTTTCTGATCGGTTTAAATAAAAAAATCTCCACATTTTGAGAATTATTTTTGCAATCAAATATTTTGAGTTGTATTTGTTCAGCGAGGATAAAAGATTGACATAGGGGTTTAGGCAATTTTATACTTTTTAACATTTACAATGGACAAAGAGGGACACTAACTTTAGGGGTGTGTGTAGGGATTAAGCTGTTCAGAGGAATGGTAGGTTCCTTACTGATAACAATGTAGGCAACTGAAATATATATTATATACATAGACTGATTTCCACACACATTTGGAACTCTGTAATACATAAACTATAGATAATTGCTAGAAACCTAGAAAATTGAGACCTTACAAACATTAGGAATGAGGAACAGAGCGATTTGAGCACAAAATAGGTTAATTGCTCATTTAAAAAAAAAAAAATTATCCTCTCAAATATTATTAAAGAACAAAGGAGACACGTGGCTGCCAGACCCCAGGTGAGTTGTCAAACAGTTTTTAAACAGTTTGAGTACTTGCTATGAGAGGGTACCTGGGCACCCCTTGCACCATAACTATTATGGCAGGATTTAGTGGTTATGGTGCAAGGAGTTTTCATTTAATGAATAATCTCCTTTATTCTTCAAGCTTGCCTTTATGACGCACCAACAGGCTAGACAACACCTGCTTTACCACAGGTCAGTCCATCAGAGGCTATGTAAATTCTATGTAAGTTTCACTGGGACACCTGCACACTGGTAGTAAGATCTGCAAATCGTGACCTGTTGGTGGGCCATGAGAACAAGTTTGGAGATACTGTTTTAAATAAATCAATATGAGTGCGGTTAAAAAAGCTTACCTCACAAAACATTGGTAACTTTTTGGCAAAATCAACCACTCTTGTAATTGCTGGGGTGATAATTTTTGTAAACTGGCTGAAGGCTTCCAGGTCGACTTTTCCACCTTCAGGTGCATTGACTATAGGGGCCTGTCCAATATCTTCTGGCTGGCAGAAATCAAAAGAATAGAACAAAGAGCACACAAACTCAGTATATTAAGTGGATATCAGGTTTCAAGAGTTACTACACTTTAAAAAAATAGTACATATTTCAAATAAGAAATCCTATAATTCTAATAGAATATGATCTACTTTTGAAATGGTACTAAATCGTTTTCTCAACTGTCTTTTTCCATGCTGGAATGATCTCATCGTGAATTTCTAAAAGAATCTGCAAATGCTTACGGTAGGAATCGATGAATGCCCAACAACAATCCTATGCTAGTACTCACAGCGGTGATATATGGGAACACCAAGGGAGAGGAAAATAAATTATAGTTATACAACGATACAACAAGGATTGCTGGAGGTCAAATGGGATAGGGTCGAAGTATAGAGGGACAACAGGGCATGCAATGTGACATTGTGGCTACAACATCTAGAGTGCCAAAAGTTACCTTTTCCTGCTGTATTGTATTCTCTATGTTTGCTAATCTATTTTACATTATATGATACTATACTAATATACCTTGCAAAAACTGCAGATCTCTTGTCTACTGCCTTTGAAAGCCCTCCTCTTCTAACCCCACCCAGACTTTATGTGACTGTTCAATTACAGATTTCCCAATTCAGCTCAATGAAAAGTCTTTGTAAGACAGGTGCACCGAGCAATTGCTGCCTCTTGAGTTCAGTGCAAATAAGCCAACCAAACCAGGAAGCAACAAGACCTGTTGTCTGCTTGAAAAGCCAGGGGGTGTAACCAGTATCATGTATATAAGAGTGGCAATTTCTATTGAAATCTGCACTATTTCCAAAATGAAAAAAAGAGGACACACTCTTCGCACATATAGCTTTTCAGCAAGCTAAAGTACTTTATGGGTCTGGAGTGTCCCTTTAACTCAATAGTAGCATTAAATCAAACTGAAAGCTGTGTACATAGCGATAACAGGCTTAATAGTAGCAATCAAAGTAAAAATACCATTAGCTAGAAGTGTAATGTGATTACATTGTGTTCTTTGACTCTTACCAGAAATTTTCGTTTCTGTTTCCAGTGACTTCCCTGTGCGTTGGTGGCCACATGTGCTTCGGTCACCACCTGTATCAGCTCCCACTCCTCTTGAGTTGGTTCAGGTCTCTGTACCAGTGATTTCTGTAACTCATCTTTGCGTCTTTTTTCTCGGTTTTCTTCTATAAGCTTTCTTTTTGCTAAACGTTTACTGTCATCCAAGACCACTGGCAAAAAAATAAACCCCGTAACTTCACACAGAATAAACACATATTAATATATCACCAAGTGTATAAAACTTACCTTGACAATAAAAAGTAGCATGTCAATAAAATGTGGTAGGATATTGTGTTGTTGCTGTTTTTACTTTTTTGGCATACATTCTTCATAAAAATGTCCCATAATTTAATAGGCTCTATAGACTCTAACAAACCACAGACACAATCTGCCCTACTAGCTATAAACATCCTGGTTCTACCCTGTATTTGCCTGCATTGCACTAGATAAGCTCTAACCAGTTAGCATGTAGCCCACACAGGGGACAGCTGGCAAGGGGGGCTGATGGTATATAAAAGATTCTCCTTAAGCATCCTCTGCTTACTTCACTCCTCCTCGATGGAGAATTAGAGATGTCAGGGAGGGCAGTCTGAGAGGAGGATAAAGTGGGGAGCTGTGCTGCCATTGGCTGTCTGTCGTTAGATGTCAAAATACTTACAGAATTCATATTAGCCACCTGGAACTCTTGTTCTAAGCTGGCTAATGATTCCCCAATGGTGCTACTGGAAGTGGAGTTAAAGGTCAAGCAGAAGATGAGTAAAACTATGTGGACCATGTCCACATCTTATCAATGACACTTGGATTACCCTTTATGAAAGGGAACAGAGTTTTGCCGATTTGGCTTCAAACTGAGGACAAATATAGCCACACCTCCTTCAAGCCAATATAATATATAAATATTTGTACTCTACCACTTTAAAGTATCAGACCTTAGAGCATTGCATGTTACTTTAAAATAGATATTGTCATATCCTCACCCAGCTTGGAAGCTTAGTTGTAAAAGTGCTACGGGAATAACAGTTTTACTTGTTGTCTACTTCATAAATTCTGCACCTTATCCTTACAATTTTGCTTTAAGCATGGAGCCACTGACAGCTTTATTGGCCAAAGAGTTCGAAACCAAAATTGTAATGAAAGAACTATTAAAGCCTCCAAAATTCTTTGTACTGTTTTGAGTAATGGAAATGAAAATAAAACTCAAACAAAAGTAATGACAATTCCAAAACCTATACAAGCAGTTCTTTAGCTGGCAAGATTTTTTGCTAGATTTTGTGGCTTACACAAGAGACAATCTGAACTATGTTTACATCTGATGAGTTGCTTACAGTCTGTTGCCATGCCGACGGTGATGCACTTTTTGAAGCGACATTCTTGGCACTGGTTCCTTGTAACTTTGTCTATCACACATTTTCCTTCATATTTACACGAGTAGCTTGGATGGAGGTTCTTCTGGATAGTTCTTCTAAAAAAGCCCTAGAGGATTCAATAATGATTGTTACTACTCCGAAGATAAACTGTGTACAATGATTCTTGCCCTCTTAAAGGAACACTATAGTCACCAAGCCAATTTCTATTTAATTTTGGTGTATATATCATTCCCATGTAGTCTCATTGCTCAATTCTCTACCACTTTTTATGCAGTCCTAGTAACACTCTTTTGATTTACACAGTGTTCCAAAACAGTTCCTGTAAAGTGAGATCTAACATTTAAACTTCCTTTATTGCACAGTCTATTTAGAATTTCTTATCCACTGTGAATAGCCTGTAAGATCTTTCAGAAGGGTCTTGTGTGTGATTAAATGACCACTGTCGACACCCAGACCACTTCAGCTTAATGAAGTGGTCTGGGTGCCAGGTCCATCTAGGGTTAAACTTGCCTGCTGTAAAAATAGCAGTTTCAGAGAACTTTAAAGGACCACTGACGCCAGTTTGAAGAGTACGGTCTCTGAACATCTAATGCCTGTCAAACTGATATTGTGATACAGTGATTGCTGCCTTCTGTTTGTTTTGGGAAAATATTCAATGATGATTAGCCAGCTTTAAATTAAGTTGATCATCATACAAAATATAGTTGCATAGGTAACCCTTTCAAATTTTTCATAGTGTCATATGGACACATACAAAAGAATATATACAAAATAATATATATCAATGGTTTTCACCTTTAGGAACCTGTGACTAGCTGCCCAGGGAGTCTGGAGGCATTGGGTCTATAAGGCTAAATATAACACCAAATATCCGTCAGCTTTGTTAAATATACACAGTACAGAAGAGGGGGGAGACAGACAGTCCATTAAGGGGCCCTGTATGCAGGAGTACTATAATGTGGTCCACTCCATGCAAACCCCAGTACTTGACCGGGCCCTTACAGTACTGGCTGTCACCCCCCGATGGCGGCCCTGAATGTAACCACTTCATTGAGATGAAGTAGCTACAGAGCCTAGAGTGTCCCTTCCAGCTTTATTCATGCAAAGCTCTGTTTTTATTGCAATTATTATTACAGACTTAGCAAATCATATAACAATCAAGCTCAGGAACAGCCAAAGCAAACACTGCAAATGATGAGAAGAAACATAATCTTTGTTTCATTTCTCCCCTTCTCTGTACGCTTTTCTCTATGCTGAGTGTCATGTGCAAAGGACAAAGCTTATAACAATGATTTACAAGATGGAGGCACTTAGTGGCAATATATAATGAGTTGTGGATTTCTACATTTAAAGCGGCACTGTCATGGCCAAATCCCGTTTTTTTTTAACCCCTCCTCCCGACTCCACTACATCTAACCGACTCCCTAGTCACCCCCAAATGCCCCTAAGCCCCCCAGATTACCTATTTTTTATTCTTTATTTTCTGCCGGATCTATATTCAGGGCGCCGCCATCTTTGTGTGGGTAGATGAAGTCCCTGTGGGACACGTCATCTGCCCAAACTAGACAGACTGTGAGATTCCCGCACATGTCCAGTGAAACACCTGGGCGTGCGAATGGGAATTTCATCCATTCGTTCGTCAGAAAGATGAATGAATGAATAGTCTGCGCGGAGCCCTCCATGGGTGAAGATGGATTATTTTTTTTGCGCTCGGTTTTTTCTTTTTCGTCTGTTTTTTTTTTTTGCGATTGGGTTTTTATTTTATTTTAAGTTCGACGGGTATGATGGTTTTTTATTTGGCCTTTTTTGGGGCTGAAGAATGAAGATTTTAGAAAAAAGAAGATGTCAAATGGTAAGTTTAATTTTTCTTTACAGGTTAGTTATTTTATTCCCCCCTCACTATTTTTTAGGGTGAGGGGGGTCGGTAGGAGATTACTTTTTTTTTGGGTGGGGGAGTGGGTTACTAGGGTCTTAGGGACCCCTAGTCACCTTTGATGGGGGGGCGGCGGAATTTGTCTTAGGGGAATTTGTGGGGGCCGGGGGGGAGGACAGTAGGTCCCCCCCTCATTATCTTTATGGCCCACCGCTCAAGGGTGGGGGCCAGGGGGGGAGGACAGTAGGTCCCCCCCCAATTGTAATTTATGGCTCCCACCCAAGGCGCAGGGGTGGGGGCCGGGGGAAGGACAGTAGGTCCTCCCCCCTCATTATCTTTATGGCCCCCACCCGTCGCACAGGGGTGGGGGCCAATAGGTTTTTAATTTTTTTTTACAGTGAGCAGCCACAGAAAATGAAGCACACTTTGCTCCTCCGCTGGTCAAAGCTGGTCAAGCGGAGGAAACCTCCATAAGGCAAAGAGTCCCTACTTTGTCTTATGATTTTAAAGAAAACTAAAGAAGACAGGAAGAAAAGAAGAACAGATCCTGACAGAGGGGGAGAAGAGGAAGAGATTGAGGAAAGGTAAGTTCGGCATGACAGTGCCGCTTTAAGTTCATAACTCACAAATACATATTTGTTAAATAAAGAAGTAGTCATAATATTAAAACCTTAGGAAATGACTGTACCCCCTTAGATAATAAGCATCATAACAATGGTAACTGCATATATTATGGTGCATGTCCATACCTCCCAAGTGTCCCTATTAAGGCGGGACAGTCCCTATTTTCTATTCTAATGTCCCTCTATTCTAGGAGTTCCATACTGTTGGTGTGTCTGAGTGTATAACAGAGCTCCACAGCGATAATGTTCACAGTTATGTGTCTGTAAACTACATAAATGTGTTTAAAAATCAGTCAGTATAAATAAGATATATTGTTCTTCTAGATTAGTTACATAAATGTTTTAGTAAGTCACCTGAAATATTTTTCAGAGCAGCCGTTTTCCTTACCAGATACCCACTCGCACTCCTAAAATGAAGGTGTACGTTTTTGTCCATTTGAAATGTTGAGAAGTGTGCATGTATTTAATCTATTTCTGGGTTCCTGCTCACAGTTTCTTATAAGTACAGTGATTCTAAAAGTTTTACTCCCTCCTTTCACTGTCCAAAGTTCCTATAACTTGTGTATATACTGAATTTTTTTAGGACATAGTCTGTATCTCTGCTCATGTTACAATGTAAAGCAGCACACACAGCTTTGCAAATACAAAAATTAGTTTACATATAACTATGCACTTATCTAAAAATTAAGAAAGGTACGGAGATATCCATGAAAAGTTACATTGCAGCCCAGGCCTTGAAGTTAAAAAGCAAAAGTGATATTTTATACCATTACTAGCCACTAGATGGCTCTGGAGCTGCTCATCTATTGTATTAATATCAAAAATTAAACACAGGGACCAGGTTGGATGAAAACTAGGCCTCAGTATTTCTTAAACAGTTGTTGACACCAATTAAAATTGAAAGTGATTATTAATAAAGTTTTATGACCTTGTGTCTGCTAGTATGCACTGATTCACTCATTGTGAGCTGGAAGGAATAAAGAGTGAAATTCAGAATCTTTTGATAAATATATAACAGAAGAAATTTATCTTCAGGGTATATGGACACAGTGTTGAGTTTGGCAATATTTTAACCACATTTAGCAGTATATTAAAACCAGATCACAGTATACCATGTGTCTTTGATGGGGCCTGCGTTAGAAGGTTGCAGCATATGATCTACTATACATGTAATATGTATCATACACACACAGATAATTGCAATCCGGACATATTTAGGCTGTTCGGCCAAATTCTGTATCTCAGAATCTACTAACTTACAAATCAACATTTGGTCAGGTATGTACGATGTTTATTATGATTTTAATAAATGCCAGAGATATACTAACATTGATTTGGGTTACTCTAACCTGAAATCGGTATCTTGGGAAGAATGCAGGCAATTGAAATAACTAATCTTCAATCAAGTCTCTCTGCAGTGCCCATAAACACTCTAAAAATGTAATAAGACATCAGCAAATTGATTCTTAACTCCTTTACAAACAAGCACATTTTGTTTTGAAGAATATTAGCAAAACATTTATTTGAAAAATGAGATGCACATTAATATATGATAAAACGTCAATTTCGTGCATATATTGCTGTCCAAAAAAAATATAAAAATACAAATTATAATATATTTTTATTGTTAATTTATGTGTTCCTCATTTATAGAGATAATGGGAAGATGAAAATAATCTTGCAATTTTTCATAAAGAGTCTTAAATGTTAGTATAAAAGCAACAATACATTTGAGGTGACAAATGGATAAATAAAAATGGTTAAATTATAGGCATTTATAAGGATCCTGATGGCATAACTAGTGGTACAGCCAGGCTCAGACTGGTAACCAAGGGCCAAGGTTGAAGGTTTAAAGGTTCTCTCCAGCTAGACCATGGAGGGACAACGCTAACTGAGTACTGGCCTTGCTGGTGAGAATATCAGAAATCTCCCTTACCAGCCCAGTGCAATTTACTGTGGAAAACAGGGTCACAGAGACGCTAGAGTCTAGTCTGTACCTCTGCAGAAAGAGTATTCCTCAGATCCTTGCAAAGGATTACCATGGCAACGCTCCGATACGAGCCAGAGCTTGTGAGAAAAGCCTATTAGGCCTGCACCTGGTGGAGGTGCAGACTGGAGTAAAAGTGTATCACCACCAGAACACCAGAGATCTAGTAGGAAGCATGGATAGGGGAATAAAGCAATTTTTTTTCAGAAATAATCATTTTTAATAAATAAATATTTTGGAAAAGAAAATGTAAAAATATTACAATACAGCACCTTTCCCACCACACAAATACACACACACAATACATCCACTACATCCCTTACACACACTTAATCTCGAATACACAAACATGTGCGATATTCCCTCCTATATGCACACTGTATCCACTACTTCTATACCACCAGGGCCGTCTTTAATGCAGAGTAAAAGGGGAAGCTGCCCCAGGGCCAGTCATTCCTAGGGGCTCCAAAGCAGCTGCCCTTTGAACCAGCCATCCGCCGTGGTGTGTGCTGGCTGCGTGGTACTACCACTGCGTGCCGCACGATGAGGGGTCCCATCGGGTGGCCCATGCTCTTAGGGCCACCTGATGGCAATGAGTCTGCAGGGGGCCGATCAGTGCTGCGGCTCTTTAAAAGCGCGACCAGGCCCCCTGTGATGAGTGCAGTCACTTCTTCCTAGCTAACACGGAAAGTGCCGTGTGGGAGAGACGAAGAGAGGAGGAGCGGGGACTGGAAACAGCCCAACTCCCAACAGACTCAGACAGCCACTGGACCCCAGGTAGGAAACAGAAGGGTGACTGAAATTGTATATTTTCCATGTGTGTCTGTTTGTGTGTATATAACTGTCTGCATGTTTATCAGTCTTTGTGGGTATCTGACTGTATGTGTATCTGTGTGTCTGTATGTGTGTTTCTGTGTGTATATCTGTCTGTATGTGAATATGCATGGGTCTGTTTATCTGTGTGTGTGTATCTGTCTGTATTTGTGTGTATCTGTCTGTATTTGTGTGTGTATCTGTCTGTATTTGTGTGTGTGTCTGTATGTGTATATGAATGTGTGTCTGTGTATCTGTGAGTATATCTGTCTGTATGTGTATCTGTGTGTATTCCGTGAGCATATCTGTCTGTTTGTGTATATGCATGTGTCTGTATCTGTTTGTGTATCTGTCTATATGTGTATCTGTGTGTCTGTATGTGTATATGCATGTGTGTCTGTATCTGTGTGTTTATCTGTCTATATGTGTATCTGTGTCTCTGTATGCATATTTGTGTGTGTTTCTGTCTGTGTATGTGTCTGTATGTGTATGTACATCTGTGCGTGTATCTGTCTATATGTGTATCTGTGTGTCTGTATGTATCTCAGTCTGTATGCACATCTGTCTGTACGTGTGTCTGTATGTGTGTCAGTGTGTGCCCCTCTGTATCTGTTTGTGTCAATGTTTGCATCTATATGAGTGTCATCATGTGTATCTGAATGTTTGTCATTAAGTGTGTCTGTGTACCTGTATGTGTGTCAGAGTGTCTGTATGTGTATCTCTGTGTCTGTATGTGTCTCTTGGTATGTGTGTCTGTGTATATGCATGTGTGTCAGTGTGTGCCCTGTGTATCTGTCTGTGTCTGTATCTGTATGTGTGTCTGTGCATCTGTATGTGTTAGTGTGTGTCTGTGTAACTGCATGTGTGTCCATGTATGTATCTGTATGTGTGTTATTGTGTGTATCTGCATATATGTCAGGGTGTGTCTGTTTATCTGTGTGTGTTAGTGTATGTCTGCATGTTTGTCAGTGAGTGTATATGTGTATCTGTATGTGTGCCAGTGTGTATCTGTGTATGCACCTGTGTGTCTGTGTATCTGTCTTTGTATGTCTGTGTATTTGGATGTATGTATTTCTGGGCCTATGTATGTGTGTATCTGCATTTGTGTCAGTGTTTGCATCTGTATGTGTGTCAGTGTGTGTATTTTCTCTGGGGTAAAAATAAGTGTGGCTAAGTCCACAATTTATTTGTGTGTGTTTTTTTGTGTTTTCTTTATGTGTGTCTTTGGGTGGAAGGCGTGTTTGCATGCTAGAATGTGGGAGGGTACCAGGCGGCCCAAGATAATGCTTGCCCAGGGTCAAATCAACATTAAAGACGGCCCTGCATACCACATTACCTAAACACCCACACTCTCTCCTACATCTATATACACGCTACAGCCCCTAAACACACACTATAGCCCCTAGACACACACTACAGCCCCTAGACATACACACTCTCTCTTTACTGCCCCTAAATATTAATTACACCCCCTAGACACACACATGCTCCACCACAAACACATACAAAATATGACCTATTTACACACCAAAAACAGCCCCCTCTACATCCCACTAGACGCCTCCAAAACATATAAAATCAATGTTCCAGACTTGTACTAGTGAATGTGCTGGTATTTGTTAATGTGTGCCCATTAATACATACATATATTTCAGAGCAGTATTCTATAAATAGACATATATTTAACCCTTCATATAACGGGAAGCTGGGCTACAGGAGTCCACCCAGTAAAGACACTCTACTTGCCTGGCCAGTTGTGCATTAAGTTATGTCATGGCTGCACTACTTATACTGAGAACAGGGTCACAAGGTGGAGGTGGAACGAGGAAACAGGACACTTTATTAGGAAGGTGGGACACTGCTAGAGGTTTTTGTTACTGTTTTTTTTTTAAATAAAACAAAAAGGAGGCAGATGAGGGGCTTTTGCTGGATGTTGTTGAACATTTTAAAATACCACAAAATTTCACATACTAAGTAATAGATAAACCCACATATACACAGGTTCGTGCATATACCCAAAAGCAGGCATCTACACCCTTACACATATATTTATATAGATAACCATGATGCAAAGATTTAATAATATGATATGGCTGCAGATATTTGGGATCGGAGTGAGGAGGTAACCCTGAAGTCAGCCCATGCACTGGCCAGACTATGCCCCCGGTTCTAGGGAGAAAGATTTGCCCTGTTGCTCTTCCTTGGAATCTGCACTTGAAACAAACTACTCTTTGTTCTGTTACATCTGCTACTCTAGGCCTGGGTATAATTTGTCTAGTGAGTGTGTTTTTTATGTATGTGAGTCAGTGTGTTGATAATTAGTGTGTGGCTAGTTGTGAATGCATTGTCAGTGACTAATTGTGTGTGCAAGCGTGGTTGGCTAATCAGCGTGTGTAAGTGGCTAGCTATTTATAAGAGCACGTGTGTGGAAAATTAGATGTGTGGGTCTGACTACAGGAAGTGGAGTTAGTTGGTTCTGGAATAATTTGGCTCTTAGATCTACACAGGCAAATATCATGGGTCAACTCTTGTGTCAAGTCTAGCTAGATTAGCACACGTGGGGGGTACAGTTCTTCAAGGATTGAATAAATGACATTGATTTAAAAGAGAGATACTCAATTTATGCCAGACAGGGCTAGTAATACCATGACAACACAATCCAAAGTTTACCTTGCAGCCCTCACAGGTGATACATCTATAGTGATACCCTGTAGCCTTGTCTCCACAAACCACACACAGCTCATCTTTGTCCAAGTAGCTGGGTATGTACCCTGCAAGGAAAAAGAATAGTTTATCAATGCACATGTAATAAAACAACACATTGTAATTTTAAAACGAAACACTTAAATTAAACAGGGTGGAAGCAAGAGATAGCAAGTATTTTTGTTTCTTATCTTATTCTGAGAACAAAGTCCAAATAGTTCTTCTAAACAGGTGAAACGGGAAAATTATAATTAAGGGTGTATATGCTAATGATTATTATATGAGAGAGTTACTGACTCCAGTCGATAACACATTCTAACTTGATACAAATACACAGGGCCATTTACTAACATGAGAACAGCAGGAAATTCAAAATGAATTTCAATTTATCCAAATAAAATGATGACCAGACTTAGTTCTCAAAGGATACATGTTTTTGTAGGAAAGAACGTTTCCCTCTGTGGAACAGTCATACTTATTTGCATTAATTTTAGTTTGCAAGAATTTGTCGTTTACAGCCACTGATTTGAGCAATGAATTTCCATGTGTTCAGCAAAATATTTAAGATGTTATATATTAAATTTACATTAAACAATGAATCATAGTGGACTTCAGGGTTAGGCAAAAAAGTGCTAGTTTGTAAACTTTATCTAATTCAGCTTTAATGAAAACTTGACCATTTTAGCTGCTTTTTAAAATTTGGAGCAGTTTAGCTTACACTGAAGCGCAGTAAATGAATGTATCATCTTACTCCTTCAATTACCGAAAATAAAATGTTCCTTTGGGTATTTGTTGATCAACTAAATAGTAGAATTACCAAGATGTAGACATTTTTATAAATGGAAGATATCTAAGTAAATAGATTTCAAACTTGGGAATCAAATTAATTATATCTGCCAAAAACAGTAGATAATTATTAACTGTTTTGGCCAATATTTTTTATCAAAGTTTGGCTGAATTTAATGCCAGCCAATATTCAAACAGCCAAACCTGATAAATAGGTTGGCTGACCAAAATGAAAAGCCAGATAAATCTGCATCGAAAGCATATCTATCAACCTTTGCGGCAGGTGGTGGGAGGTCTACTAAAAAATGAGTAGTCATCGACTGCGCACTGTAATTATAAACTAGCAACTGGGTAGCTAGTGCTTCTCAGTTGTTAAGAAAGGCCTTACTAAACTGTGCCTCCCTGCACTCACCCATAGGTAGTCAGTGGTGGGCCATTATTTAATAAACATGGGGGATATCTAATTTCTCACCTCTCTCTCGACTTGTGGAATATTCTCACGCAAGTTTCAAGAGAGGTGAGACTCGCCTGCCTGATTGAGCTTTCAAAGTGTGAGAAAACCTTTATAAAGGCTTTTTCCAGCCTTCAGAGGTGGGGAGAGTGACCGCTTGTGAAGTTTAAAGATGGCTGGGCTCTGCTCCCCTGACTTGTTGTGATCTATCCCTATAGCGCTATGTACTCAACCCTTGATCCAGTGAAATGCCATGCCTTATTCAAAACCATAAACCTATACGTAGACATATGTGGGAAACAACAAACAGTTTAAAGAACTCCACCTACTAATGCTGTTACCCAATGACAGCTCTAAAAGACAGGATAATATGTAGAGCTGTGTTTACATTTGTCCTGCAACTCCAAAATTATAGAATAAATGTAAATAGAAATAAAGTCACTTACATCCAATGCATATTGAAAATTAAATTAATTACAGATAGTATGATGATAAAACCGCATTCCACGTAGATCCGAATAAAATCCGCGAAGCAAATGCCCGCACGTACAAGTTTTATAAAATATTACAAAACCATGGCTACAGACCATATATGACAAATAAGAAAAAATAAAAAAATACAAAACTAAGCCCATACAACTGTAAGAAGGAGAGGGAGAAAAATCTAGAGGGACACTTCAGTCTAGATATTTTTATTTTTACTGAACTCCACCCCCCCTCTCCTTCTTACAGGTGTATGGACTTAGTTTATTTTCTGACTTTTGTATTGATATATATGATCCATTTCACATATATGGTCTGTAGCCGTGGTTTTTTAGTCTTTTATTAAACTTGCATGTGCATGGATTTGCTTCTTGTATTTTATTCCGATTTTGCACAATGGTCTTGCACAATTCAGAGACGGGTATATGTAGTGTACCTATTCAAAAATTCTTTATTGTTACAAAGAATCTCTATTTTTTTTTTTACATTTGCTAAAAACAATAACTTAATTTTCTTTACCAAATGATAAGTAGTTGAAATATGAATTTAATCAGCTAGGAGCACTCTTATGTTGGTAAACATGTTTCTTTGCTAAACCGTATGATGTAAAAGAGCTTTGAATGCCTCAGAGTACAATTTACAGTTTGGGGAAAAGTCTAGATTGATGGCAGTAATCACAAATAGCAGCTGTTGCCTGGTAGTGTAACTCCCACTAACCTTGGGCAAATTAGGACACATATCTTCCAATGTTACCTTACGATTAGGGGCTCAGCGCTGCAATGTGTCACTAATACAGTGCGTTGCAGGTTTTAATGTAGGGTGTGAGCCTAACATTACATTATTTTACCTTTCCATTATATTAAAGTTGAATATACATTACGTTGTTTTATGTTTTTTTGTTTCTATTAAGTAGGGTTAGGGTAGATGGGGTAACATAGGTCCTGACGTTATTGAGATTGGATGGCGTTACACTCCCGAGCAGCTATATGTGGCTGCTGTTATTAATTTATCCCCTCTACATTTATAATCCAGAAGACGAAATGAGCAAAGAGAATTGCACTATTGTACTATGCATGGCTTCCCAAGAATTCTACCAACATATTAGTAATGAGAAAGCAGCTATATTAATGGATTCATGAACAAAATGGACAGATAATGTAAAACAAATAATATATATAATTTAAAAAAATAAATATATATATATATATATATATATATATATATATGTGTGTGTACACACGCACACATACATTTGTGGATTTGTAGCAATCAGTGATAACAGCTTCCTAACAATTTATTGACGAGGGCTCGTAGACAAATGTGACCAGATGGAAGTCTTTATTAAAAAAAACATCCTGTAAAAGTAAGACAGTTTAAAAAAAACTGGCACTGATACATTTAAACAGCATAGCTGGGAATCGAGAATATAAAGGCTTCTTGCAGCACATGACAGAGTTGTTATTCTTTGTATAGTGCTATAGGGCACTGGAGTGCTATAATTCCAATGACTGGAAATAAAGACACCTGTTCTTATTCTTAATTGTGTTTTAATGACTGCTATTGAGTCTTCATTAAGACCAAATCAATGTTGATCAATAAGGAGAAGCCCTTTGAGACACCTTCTGTCCCAAGCCCTGGATTATTGGGTTTTTTCTTTCTTCCTAGAAAATGCACCAGTACTAAATAGTAAAAAAAATACATGCTATATTCTTAAAATTAAATTTCTAAAATAGGATATAATTTAAATTTTATAGTTGGCCACGTTAACAGTAAAAAACGAAAAGAAAAAAAATACATCGTTCATAATGGCAAGGAAATATTGCTCTTATCCCACACAATCAATAATGATTACAATGTGTCAAGCGATATGAATTGGTCATGCTGAATTGGAAAAATAATGCTAAGAAGTAATGAAACAAATTAAATGTAGTAGAAAAAAATATTTTCTTTTCTAATAGAACAACATAAAATATTGAACACAAAATACTACCAAAATTAGTGTAACCCTAGTAAATAAAACTGTACATTGGTTTCTGACAATTTCACACTGGAATTATCTCGGAGTGTTCAAATAAATAAAAATAAAATGTGTTACAAATTTACATCTTCTGAGAACATGAATTACAAACACCATAGGTGAAAAATAGCAGCATTGTGTTCCTTGGATAATCTTCCCAGTGCAAAATATTCTGTACAGACTTCACACTGCTCGTCCCATCCGTCAGTAAAATGTAAAAGTAGTGTTTTTCTGCCTTCCCCATGCAAACTGTGTAATTAGCTCAATTCATAAGTCACTATGACTAACTCTGTACAAGAAAGGAGTCTTGAAGTTCTCTAAGGACAAATGTTTGTCTAAAATATGCATTATCTCTCCAAGATATGTATCAAGAGACTTATTTTACAATAATATATAATTACAGATAACATGTCGATTGGTAGGATGCACCTGTTAACAATTTGCTACCAGTGATCAACAATACATAAAGCCCAGATGAAAATATATATGTATATAAAACAAAAAATATTCATATGTTTTTATGTTTAACTCCTTTTTTTTTTTTTTTTACAAATTTGGAGTTTATTCACTAAACAGGGAATTCTGGTGAATTGAAAACCAAATTGCTAACTTTAGGTAAAAATAGCTGATTTGGAAAAATTATACAACTTAACTATAGCCACAATGTGACTTTTTGATCCTTCGTTTTGCAATTTAATTTTATATTCACTGCAATACGATGTTTAGAGAATAAACCTCATAGATGAAATATTTGGATTCTAGACTAAGCAATGAAATGTGTCGTTCTACATGGCATGGAGATGTATAATCTTTTAGTTGAGAAACAAAAGTAAGCATCTAGAATGTGATATCGCAGTATTATAAACATTAAAACAAGTAAAACAAAACTTCTATAATCCCGCATCATATACAGTATGCATATATACACTACTGCATTAGGCACACACTATATATACACACAAACACCCACACATACATATACACATATCTAACTTCCATATGTCCATACATTAACACAAACACCCACAAACAAAATCACTTGTCTGTACACATAGAATACATCATTTCACGAATGCACTGACAGTATGAAAATATGCGTACTATAGAGCTAATGTTATCATTTAACTGTCTAATAAAAACAAAAATCTCAAATGTGAAACAAAATATGGAAAGTATAAAATTGCATGTAAAAGCAGAATAGGAAAGTAAAAATGACCGATTCTCCTAGCAGCCTTTTATCACTGTGTTTGTTTCATTACAAACAGGCTTCAAAATGCAGTTTGTGTGTTGATGGGGACCTGCAAATTTGGGAAGGAGAAAAAAAGCACCGATGGGCGAAGCAACATGTAACAAAGGAATTTCTATTAATTACCACAGCAAGACAAAAAAAAAAAATATGTGAATAAAACCTTCCCTACCTTTTTTCTGAGAGTACATCGGAGATTGCCCTTGTGGAAAAGTAGTTTTGTCTTCAGGGAAATAGTCGTTTTGGCTGTACTGATTCAGGGCCATGTCTAAATCAGAGTACTCGCTTTTAAACATGTTTCCAGGGTAACTACAGGTATAAGGCTGATTCACCGCCCAGGCCTGCTCCATGTACATATTATTGTTATGCAGGACTTGAGATTCAGAATTATTGTAGCTCTGACTATCTTCGATATATGTACAATATTCAGGGGGCTGCAGGCAGCAGTTGGACAAGGCTGCCTGGTGTGCATCATATATCTCTTGCATGCAGTAGTTCATTTTGATATCTGGCCTCAGCTTCTATTTTATGTACACAAGACACACTTTAAACATGCATAGACATGGGATGAAAGCGAGCAAAGATGAATATACAGTGACAAATCGTGTCTGCCTCAGAGCGCTGTGTGTTTCGATTTGGAGCAACACCATTCGTGCTTAGATCCTATTTATATCAGAGGTGATTCTGAGCCACACCAACAGAACATGTTGGAAAAGAGATTTGTGACAGTTTAAGGTCGTAATCTGGGAGACATGGTTAAATCCTAAGGAAGATGGCAGCAGAGGGAGATACCAGAGGGTATTAAAGATACAAAGACATTATGTGCTTGACGCCAAATCCTGAAGTTTTGGTCAATAACTTTGCACACTCTTATTCAGTAGGGTGACATATGAATGCACACACTTTATTTGACAACTAAAGAGGAAAAACCCAAGTGAGACAGGAGCTGCAGAAATCCTAAAATCAATAAGTCAGTTTGTTTAACTCTGTCTTTTAAGAAATCCAGAAGGGGGCCCCAAATGAACCGTCAGAATTTAAAAGGCAAAACTATTTAGCACCCTAATCCACAAATGGTTCTATTGATTTGGTGTTACAGAATTAGCTTGAACATTATAAAAAAAACAAAAACAGAAGGATGTGGACAGGCATTGATTGTGCTTTACTTGACATCTTTACCAATCTTAACATACAAGACAGTAGCATTAAGCTAGATTTTGCCAGCAATCTGGAAGATGTATTTCAAAACTATATAAACCATAAAAAGTATAATATAAGTGGCTTCTCTTCAGCTTAATTTAGCAGAACAATACAAAGTATTTCTTCTTGAGTCGGCAACATTAGTACAAAATATTTCATGGTTTTCATTTTTATTATCGGTAATCAAACGAGGCTATTTAGTGAAATGTGCAATGAAGCATATTCAAAGTCAAATCAAATAGATTTTTTACATTTTAGACCATAATAACTGAAGTGGAATTATATAGCTGACTTTTTTAAATTCGGCTTTTTCTTTTTTCTAAATACATTTTGAAATTCACTCTGAATTCACACTATAATAAGTAATTATAATGAATGTGAGTAAATCTGTGAGTACATTCATGAAAATGAGAACTTGGGAGAAATTAAGAGGGAATCACAGCTTTAAACTATAGTAGCTGAGCTATAAAATAATCTAAGAGGGTTAATCACAGTGTCCAAGTATATTTCCAGTTCTACAAATCTGGTCTAAAATTTCAAATCTACTTTCAATCCACTTTTGAATTTCAAACATTTCATACTTTAGTGAGCAACCCTGTCAGTCAATCTTGTTTGTTGGTGATTTTTTTTTTTGCGCAATCCTCTTGTCAACTCTAAAAATCCTGGTTTTATGTATAACCTCTCAAGCACTTTTGGTGTGACAGTCAGGGGCGTTTTAGCCGCGAGGCAAACAAGGCATTTGCCTTGGGCGTCATTTTTCAGGGGGCGGCAAAAAAAGCCGCCCCCCCAAATGCCCAGGGCAAATGTCATGTTAGCCTCGCGGCTAACAGACATGCTGGGCGCCGGGCGGCATTGGCGAGCGGGCGGGCGGCTGACGAGGGAGCTTTTCCTGTGAGCTGACTGCTCAGCTCCCTCGCGCGCCGCAGAGTGAGGCTGGGAGCCGGAAGATGACGTCATATCCCGGCTCCCAGCCTCACTCTGCCACCCAGCAGCCACTGGACCACCAGGGAGATAGAGAACCCCTTCCCTCCCCAGCACTCCCAAAGGTAAGGAGGCTGGAGGGGGGGAGTTTAAAAAGTACATGTGTTAATGTGAGTGAGTGTGTGTTAGTGTGAGTGTGTGTATGTGTCTGTTAGTGAGTGTGTGTGTGTGTCTGTTAGTGAGTGTGTTATTGTGTGTGTCTGTTAGTGAGTGTGTGTGTGTGTGTGTCTGTTAGTGAGTGTGTGTTAGTGTGTGTGTGTCTGTTAGTGAGTGTGTGTTAGTGTGTGTGTGTGTCTGTTAGTGAGTGTGTGTTAGTGTGTGTGTGTGTCTGTTGTGTGTGTGTGTTAGTGAGTGTGTCTGTTAGTTAGTGTGTGTCTGTTAGTGTGTGTGTGTCTGTTATTGTGTGTGTCTGTTAGTGTGTGTGTGTCTCTGTTAGTGAGTGTGTGTTAGTGAGTGTGTGTCTGTTAGTGAGTGTGTGTTAGTGTGTGTGTGTCTGTTAGTGAGTGTGTCTGTTAGTGTGTGTGTGTGTGTCTGTTAGTGTGTGAGTGAGTGTGTCTGTGAGTGAGTGTGTCTCTGCTAGTGAGTGTGTGTGTGTATTTAGAAGGCGGGGGAAGGGATGGGAGGAGTCACGCGCGCGGGGGGGAAGGGATGGGTGGGGGTCGCGCACGCAGGGGCGGAAGGGGGGCGCCTGAGTTTTGTCCTGCCTAGGGCAGCACAAAACCAGGATACACCACTGGTGACAGTCTCGATTTTGGGGTGCTGTACCGCCATCCCACTTTAGTTCCTTGGTGTCCCGCATCTGGGGGCACCAAGAAACTGTTCATGGGGCAGCATATCGCAAGTACATCATAAACCACACTCATGCTATGCAGCTGGTACTAGGGCCCTTTAGCAACGCTCCCTGCATGGTCCTCATAGCTGGGGGCTGGCCAGGCTGCTGTCAGGTGGTGAGCCCATCCCTTTTTCAATCTGGTCCGCCCTCTTTTTGGACAAGAAAGCCCATTTTCAGGATGGCCCTGTCCATTGTGTGTGTTGCTAATAATGTGACTTATATCACTGATGATGCCCACTAAGAATTCTGCCCACCATCCCAATTTAAATGTGCATTGTGCAGTGAACGAATGTTGGGAGATTCTTGTGTTGGCCACAAAGAAATGGTGAAAATACATGTATCCTTCTGCTTTTGGCTTTTTTAACTTTCAAACAGTCATAAAATCAACTAAAAGTTTTTATTCAATAAACAGCAAGTCATGGTGACTTGACACCTGAACATTTAATTCATTGATTGACTTGAGAAGCTTTTATTTGGAAGTGAGACCTGAAGTATTCTGTAACATATGTAAGTCAAACAAACTGAATTAATGTCTCATACTGAGCCTTATGTCCACTCATTGCTTCAAGATACCTTTAGATAGGCCAGAACATCAATTAAAACTGGGTTTTGTCCTGGGTATCATGGTAATAGAACAGGAGACAGAGACTAGCTTCTGACATAAATAAAAAAGGTTTGGCAGACTAGAAGATGCTTAAAGTTATGGTACCTATTGGGTGTATGTCAGCACAACTAGGCGGAGGACTTAGCAGCAGCGTGTGGTATTTACCTACGCTGCTGTAAATGTTCACAGTTTAGTACCTGAAGTGTCTGGGATTCATGTGCGGTGCACTCATGCGATGTTAGTGCTGGCCACATAGTGGAAGATACATCTTTATAAGCCTTTTCTTCTCATCTATTGGCAACACTATGAACACCCAACAAAAGGCCTTGTTTTGATACACGTTTCAAATGATCCAAGAATGTTAGCATAACTTTCCAAATTATTTCTATGGGAATGTTTGTAGATAAATCATATGGAAAGTTTTTGTAACATTACTGAATCATTTGGACAGCATATGAAATCGAGGCCAAAGACTGAACAGGTTGCTGCCACAATACATGATTGAGTAAGGAATATAAACTATATTCAATATAATTCAATATAACAACAAGTGGCTACAAGTACAAGGAGATATACATTGTAATATAGACATGCTCAGTTTTCTGTGGCACCCAGTCCGAAATTTTTTAATGATTTTAATGGCCTACCATAGAAAGTGATTAAAGGAATTCTATATTATTAGGAATACAAAACTGTATTCATAATACTATAGTGTCTCTCTGCCTTTGTGCCCCTCCCATAAACCCACCCCAGGTCAAGAAAGGGCCACTTACCTGATTCCAGCGCTGAGTGCTGAGATAGTTGGCACCGGATCGGACTTCTCCTCTCCCAACGTCACGGCGATCTGGGAACTGAGAGAGGATTGGGCCTTCCCCATAGGAAAGCATTGAGTCAGTGATTTCCTATTGGGATTTTAAAGACAATGAACAGCCTCATGCAAAGTGTGAAAGAGGCCAGCGTCATTTCATGGAGTTAAACTCTGAAAGACAACCACTAGAGGCTGTCTAATTAGTGCAATATAAACATTGCAGTTTCTCTAAAAATGCAATCTTCTAAATTGAAGGATTATGGGGATAGGGACACTGTACCCAGGCCACCCAGGAATGTGTGCTGGAAAATGCAAACAAACACCTCTATCAGTGCTTCTGATTGATACAAAAACCAATGGAGAGAGGCAGAGGAAAAAGTTCAGAGGGTCATCCGACTGGGGTCTCGAGATTTTTCATTATTTTTCACTCTACCACTCTTGATTGAAGAAAGACGGAGCTGGGGCCTTTGAAGACTCAATATCTAGATGGCTAAAGCTGGAGTACTAGTGGTGGAGAGTTGTAGATATTGGGAACATTGATATATGGCTAGGTGAAGAGTTTCAGGTCATATAAGAGGTGGAAAGAATGTGTGTGAAACTATTTATTAGTAATAGAACACATGCGGAGGAAGTTCTATCTTAATGTAAAGAGTTTGTGAAGGCTTTTCCTGAATGTATCAACAGAAGATGAATAATATGAAAAGAAGAAAATTATGTTGGAATCTTTTGTATACATTGGAGATAATATGTTGAATGGAATACAATCATTGCAGTAATTAAGTTGGTAGTCAATAGAAGAGGAATGACATTATTAACACTAGAGAAATAAGCTTTTCAAGTTACAAGTCAAAGTTGTGAATAAGTACAAACTGTAAGAGAACGCTTCGTGACTACAGGAAACAAATCAACACACTATTAGGAATAACTGGGCAAAGAAGAAATTGACAGGTAGACATAAAAATTATAAGTTTGCTACTAAAAAGCAAAAAAAATGTTTTTTTTCAAAAAGTACAAAAATGTTTTACATATTTTTCATCTCAAGTGCTTGACATGTCAATAACTACCTTTTTCACTGTAT